CAAAGGCTATGGTCCCTGCTTTTCAATAGGGGAGATTGTAATCTGAAACCCGCACCGACGCCCATACCATGAACTGGGCCTGTTTCGGCCACATTAATTTTTAGGCCGCTGCATCAGTTTTTTTTCAATCAAAAGCTAAGTTGTTTTCGAGTGTTTTGGGCTTAACTGCAGAATACCCTGCCACTCCAAAACACATCTAGAATCCGTGGCTACGCGGCTACGGAGCTACACCGCTAGGATGCTAAGTGGCTACGTGGCTACGTGGCTACGTGGCTACGTGGCTACGGAGCTACACAGCTACGCAGCTTAGTGGCCTGGCGACGGCTTGGCGACCTGGGCACTACATGAATATATCTCGTTCTTTAATCCACGACCCGAAACAAGTGCGCTACACATGAATATATCTCAATCTTTAATCCATGACCCGAAACAAGAGCGCTAAACAAGCGCACTACACATGAATATATCTCGTTCTTTAATCCATGACCCGAAACAAGCGCGCTACACATGAATATATCTCGTTCTTTAATCCATGACCCGAAACAAGCGCGCTAAACACGAATATATCTCTTTCTTTAAACCATGACCCGAAACAAGTGCCCTGGTTTCGGCTCATGGCTGCAAGATACAACTTATGACACACAATGCCCTCGATCAAAAGATCACATTATTTGGCCGCCTAAGCAACCAATAACTGCATGATATTTTCAATTCAACCAAAAAACTTTACTGAACATGATACATTTTCTTGCGGTATATCCAAAACTCCTTTATTTAAATTTCAAACTCTTTCTGCAGATAAACAGTTCTTGCAACACAGGGCATCATACAGCAAAACTGTGTCATATAATGTACAATACTACAAAACTCAAAGTTAAACGTGTTCATATTTGCTCTTACACTGCTTGAACCGATTCGATAAGATTCTGACATATTTTCAGGAAGTGCATTCTTCTGATTATTTAAATTTGTAAATTTTCTTAATGTCATTTAAAAACACTTTCCACAAATCTTCTCCACTGTGGATATATCGCCATTTGAACTCAGCTAGGTATGATGAGTAGTGTTCTTTTTTACGATGGTGCGTCGGAAGCTTCGCTTTCATTTGCTGCCAATGCCCTTCTATCTTGTTTGTATGGAAACCTTCCTCGTCAACAAACTCCACGGAGTGGTTTACTGTCTTATGAATGTACCCATGTTTTGAAAGATTTACGTACCCCTTCCAGCAATCGGACACAATTGATGTTCCTGGTTCAATCCATTCTTTGATTAGATTTAGCAAAGTTTCCTCCGTCCTGTCTTCTACGGTCGCAATAAAACATTTTCGTGAATCTTCCTCGCTGCCGCCAAAAACCCACTGACCCTCCACTACATGTCCACGATGGTACTTTCTCTTTCCAATTTTGCTTTCATCAATCTGAACCAGTTTCCCTGGACCGCCAATTTTCTCCCTTCCATCGAACAATGCCACCTCACATACTTCACGACAAAACATGTCCCCGTCAACCGCTGTGTGCGAGCCAAGTCCAAGCTGTTGTTTAATTTGCTACTGGTTTAAGTCCTGGCACCACCAGTACGTAAATTTCAACACCTCTTCAATTGTCATGTTCGAATTTTCAAACCAACTTCCTTCTCTGATGCTCCTCTCACATCTATGCCGCTTACCATTAATCTGCCTCCTACATTCCCAGATGTAGCCATGGGATCGGTCTCCCCGCCGAACCCAATTCATTTCCGATCCACACATAGTGCAATTTCTACTCGACGCAATCAGCCCTTCTTCTCTTAGCCATGACAGTGTGAACTCTCTGTCCCACAGGTAATCTCTTAGCAAATTTTCATATGATGTGAAGTTCTCTTGCTTCTCATTTCTTTGATAGCTTGCTTGAGTGCTGCCACACTGAGTGCTTTGATCTTTTAAATCAGCTTTCGAACACCCAGTTTGCACTCCACATGTCTTACGACGTACAACAGTATACATTTTCCAGAACAGCATAAACGACTGCAGAGCAAACAACTAATTATCTTAACATTGACCAGCATGTATTAGCCCTCACTGAGTGCCATTGAAATAACTCAAACAAAGGAACTATATAAACGCTAATTTCTTTAATTTTCCCACCTCCTTTGAAGTGTTCACAGTCTGTTCCTGGCGCATATTACACCAAACTACAAACAATACCTTCAAATCTCTCTAAGTTTTACACAACGCGGCTTCCGCAATTCAACAATTAACATCTTACATTATTATAAAAAAACTATTCCCACAGAACAGCAAAACCATATATTTTGCTTTTAAGAACGCATTTGTTGGTTTTTTTTTTAATCACAATTCGGACGCAGGCGGCACATTAATGAAATTTATCAAAACAACTACAAACTAATCAAACAGTAGTAACTGCAACTAAAGCGTTCACCGATTACTTCACACCTTTTGTTTAATCTCCTTACAATAACTTAATAGTCCCTTTGGGGATTCCTTTAGCTGCAGAATCGCTAAACTCAATGTAGAGCGCATCATTTGAGACAAACGCATCATTCCAGAATGTCTACCCCGCGCCTTACGAAGCTTCGAAAACAACCAAACAGTACTGGAGCAAAAAAAAAAAAAAATCAAAAGCTTCATTATTGGAACAGATAGGGTTAGGAGAATTCTGGATGAAAGCACACTAGGAATCGTAAACATCGTAAAAATCAGGCAACGGCTTAAGGATATCGAACTACACAGAGGGCTAAGTGAAATAAGTAACGACACTAGAAAACTTGCTAACCAAAGCAACAAAATGAGAACCTACCGGTTATTCAAAA